ATTTTGAGACTCGCACATCTCCAGAAGTGGAAGAGAGTTCATTCAATCCATAGTTCACCTATCCTTCTAGAGATATATATTCATATCTGACAATTTCATTAGGAAAATGCAATATCAGTATTGGACATAATGACAGAAAGTTACATTCTTGCAGGGAAACCTGATTATATTCTCATATTCTAATTTTGTCTAATATCCTTTTGTGTTTGAGCCCTGTCATCACTTATCTTCCTAATTAAGCTATTCGTTTCCCTATCTTTATTAAACAAAATAAATAATATCTAGATGATAGAGAGGGAGGAGCATGAAAAGTTTCAGCTAAAGTTCGAGCACTTGACAAATTCTACTTAATTTCATCAATTCAATTTCAACTGTACATGGGGAAAATAAAACAAGTCAGCACATACCTAAACATTATTTGTGACACTACCTGCATGAGCTAAGACTTGAGCCCAAAATGGTAATTAGCATATTTCCGGGTGCTTTTAGCAGTGATTCTGAGTCAGACTGACAAGACCCCCACTGACTATAATAAAAGACTAAATTATGCTGGATCACTGGATTTATATAGGTCAATGTCTCCATCTAGTGGTTTGATGTTGTAGTAAGAGGGGTTTTTGTCACGTTTCAAGCAGCAAAGGTCTAACAACTTGATTTGTTTGAACAGGGGTTAATTTTGTCTTCTGTGGAAAACTTTACCTTGTCTTATAAATCTTAACTACACTCATATTAGCCATGGCACTAAAACACAGATTAAAAGCTCTGTGTGTATTTTATTTATTCAGCAAGAGCAAATTATTTTAAAAAGGCACTATAGAAATGTAAAAACAAAAGAAAAAAATAAAGCATGCCATAACTTCTTGATCTAAATTGAAGTATTTTAACAAGCAATCAAACAACTGAATCTGAAGACAGAAAAAAGTACAGAAAATGTACTGCAGGAAGCGGCTCCACCTACTGTAGCTTGCTGTGTCTGATGGATCTCTATTGTGAGAAGAGCCCTGTGAACTTTCGGTACACTTGTTCTTGCACACAATGTGTTACCCTTTTTACTTTGATGGCTGAGTCATATCTAGTGGCAAATTTTCAGGAATAAAAGGTTTCATGATCACACCACCAGTTATTCAATCACAGGCTCATGGGAATCACAGGAACAGACATTAACTACAAAAAGTTACTGCACAACTATGCAGATTCTAAGCCTAAATCAAAGGTGTCTTGTGGAGTTTTTGACCAGTAATGGTGCTACAAAGCTATATGTTTGTATGATCCTGTCCTCATTTTGTTTGCATGAATGTGTATCGATACAGTTCTGCCAATGGATTCACATTGTTCTACTGATCTACATGTGGCTATAAAGCACCAAGGAATGTAGCAATGTTCCAGCAAAGACTGCTAACAAGTAAGCATGGATGTAAACAATGCAAGTATCCAAAAAAAAAGAATCGGCTTTGCAAATGTCTAATGAGAAAGGAAATACATTCAACACGTTTGTTAGGCCTCATGAATACACACAACACATTTCAGTAAACCATAAATATAAAAATACTGCAATATTGACTGAGCGTTCATTAAATACAGTTTCATAGGAGGAATTCAAGCTATTTCTCTCTGGAGGTAACAACCGTACCAGCAGAGGGTGACTCTTCACTCTCCACAGGCCACATTTACAAGCACATCCACCTCTCTCTCACTTCCAGATATAATACAGGTATATTATTCAGACATAAACATGCCATGTTTATGCCTGGATCCATTATGGTTAGTTTTTGGCTAACAGAAGTTAGTAAAGACAGACTGATTGGTCCAGTGGTTTGGCCCTGGAAATAAAAACAAGCAGTCCACATTCTTCTGATTTTTGAAGCCAGTTCCTGTGTGAGCACTACTTTGAAAAATATTTACTATTTGCACAAAATGTAGTGACATTATACTGCAATGTGTGTTAATGCAGCCGTAAGCCATACATTTTTAAAGTTATCTTATATGTGATGTGTTAAAATGCCTGGCAGAATAAATGCAGCTCACTCCAAGTAGTTATAGTAGTAGTAGTTGATATTTGATGAAGTATTGTCTGCTGGTGTGTATGTTATTAAATGAAATGAACTACAGTTATTCTGGCAAGAGTAAATTTAAAGGTGTGGTGACCTGCAATGTTATAAATCCACAAAAATCTACATCTCACTCACTACATGAAATACATATTCAAGCATGAGCTGATTTTGAAGAACATTGAGTTCTCTGTTTAACTGTCTCACCCTGGCTAAAAATAGAGCTCATTCTGAATTCCTCATTTACAGAATTAAACATTTACCACGGGCATGTTGGTTTAGTCATGAATAAGACATTAAACATGAAACAAGGCCAAATTTGCTCCAATGAACGGGCACTACCTAGCTGAATAAAGCATAACACACTCTGTCTGTCTCTGAGAGAGGGGTGAAATCTACAGTACATCTGAAATGTATACTACTGCTTGTCTGTTTCACTGACCTAGAAATATCCTCCTGACTCAGTGAATTCAGATCTAAAGTGAAGCTTACTCCATATCTGTCGGAAAGCACTCGTGTTTGGTGTTCATTCTGGGGAATGTGGGGCAGGTGTAACTGCTCAGCTGCAATTACATTTTGAAAAGAGAACGTTTCGACAGTAATAGCGAGGATGGTACTGGAGAGGCCCAGTATCAAAGTATGAAATGTTTGGTGTGGATACAAAGATCAGAACCGCTGGTTGCTTTGCTGCGGCCAGTCATGACATGTTTTAAATAGTTAGGTGGCAAGTGCTGATTATGCTCAATTACTTGAAATCAAACAGGAAAAAAATGACTTCACTTATCACAAATATAACTGATATTATTGAAATGCAAAATCTTTGATTAAAAGTCAAGAGAAATTGCAAATCTGTGATTGTTGTCATACTGAATTTGCCCCGTTCATTAACTGAAATGTTACATATTAACCTTTAGGGACAGGATGCGGGTTCCGGACTCAGAGGGATCACAGGTATGTAACACGCTTTCCCTTTGAAATGTGTTTTTACATCTTTTTACAGCATGTGTAGAAAAATAAATTTGACATATCAATAGTTTAGCAGCTATGAAACTCTGGTTGGCTAGTGCACTCCAACTAGTTTCTTCATCACACACACTCTTGATCTTGATATAATATTCCATGATCTACCTGTCAATTTTCTATACCTATGGGGACTATCCCAGGATGCACTGGGGAATGGAAAATATACACAGTTCACTGCTGGGCTCACATAGTCAGTTAGGTCTAAACATTTTCAGTTGTACAGCCGTCAGTCTGAAAATCTAATTCATTCTTTAGTTGCCAGCGAATTACCATAGCCTTTCCACTATAATTTGTAGCTGTAATATGCCAAATAGTGGTGGTCTGTGGGGGAGACATGCTTTGGGACTTTAACATAATGTGAAAAGATTGATATGTGGACTTATGCTTTGTTTAAGTCCATCCATTGTATAACATATGCATACCCCTATGGGCAGCAGTGTTGGCAGCTGTCATAGTCACCAGGAGGTGTGCCAATTTGGACCTGAGCCGAGCCAACCCAACTCATTAGACAAGCACAGCACAGTTACTTACTGTGTTACTTCCTGCAAACACAAAATTTCACTATCCCGTAGCATAAATAATTTGCTTGGAATGCATAATTAGGAATATCGGCTTTATGAAAGCTTGTAATACTGCAACTGACCTGGGCTTTACAGGGAAATTTGATTAATTAATTGATTAATAATTGTTACAAATATTCTCAAGGAAGAAGAAAAATGTAGTGAAGCGTATTATGTGGGCACACAAATTAGATATTTTGTTCATTTAAGCTGTTGTCAATTCACGCTTCATGAAGATTGGCAGCAGTACCTATGATAATTACATTATAAACAAATATCACACTGCTATGCATAGTCATAGTCCTTGAACATTTTCATTCACATTCTTAAAGAAATCTGAAATATGCCATCTCAGAAGCAGAGTGAACTGTTCATTTCCATATATTACTGATCCAGTATTCCTCTCATCTCTTGTACTTTCAGATTCCTCAGGAAACAAAGACTGCCTGCAACGACACAAGTGGTAACAAGCAGAGCCTCTGTGTTTTTATATGCCAGTAATGCCAAAGCTGACAGTCCCCACTGTAAGAAAATACAAGGTTGAAGGATGCTGCAGAAAATTTAGTGTAAAAGCCAGATACAAAATCCTACTGACATCTATTTTAAGGCATTACCATTAGGAGCTTGGTCATGCCAGCATTTATAACTTGGTGCTTTGGATTTAAGCCTCTGACATACATATTTGAATTTCACTGTTCCACTTTTTAGTGTGGCCATGTGCTCAGACTATAACAATTTTACTGTCTTGTGGTGCTTACAATCAAAATATGATTGGTGTTGTTGAGACCAACATATAAGCACCGATAGCACAGTGACTAATCAGCCAAATGGTGTCCTGGTTTTAAAACAAAAAACAACAAAACAAATGCATGTAACTATAATGAAATTTGTTATAGATAAAACGTCTTGTGGGAGTGTGGAGGACATGCACTGCCCTTTTCACCCATTTCTAATTCCTGCTCCATTTCTCCCTGATGCTCATCCAATCATGAATATCTCTCTGCCTCTCTCTCTTTCACTCTCACTGTGTCCTAAGGCAAGGTAACATAGAAAGCTCTGAATAAGCTTTAACGTGTATCCAGACACAGCTCGTCAGACTTGAACTATACTTGTCTGACCATCTTTTCAGCCCATCAGTCAGCGTTAGAGAACTCTTATCCTAAATTGATTCTGTGCACCAAAGATCTATGAGGAAGCGTGTAGACAACAAAGCAAGGACTGACAGTCGACTTGAGAAATACTTAGGGCATGTGAAAAGAAGCAAGAGAGGGGTGAGAGATAAAATGGGTGAGATATGACGGTGATGTCTTGTTTGGCTGTAAGGGAGAGGTTCATATCAAAGATTTCCCCAAGTGTCTTTGCACCTTACCCAGTGTCTTGGCAGCGCTCATGCAGATGTGTGCCTGTCTCCTGATCCTGCTGCTGGATAAAAAAAAAAAAGAATCTGTTACTGAAAGGTCTCAGGCTAAATCCTGACATCAACTAATGTGATGTGACAGGATCCTTGGGCAATACACTGACCTGCTACCTGCTCACACACTGAACTAACAGTGTCAGCTAAATGGCTAAAAGTGTAAATGTAACCATCAAACATTTTTTGATTTTACAAGAGTGTGCTTTAGTCACAGATTCATCTCAGATCTTTTATGGACAAATGTTACACTTCTGTTGTGTTGTCTATTAAGGCCTATATTTATCTATTTTTTACAGTCCCAGTATTTGTCTGCATCAATAGTGATATATACTGGCTATCCTTAAATTTGCAGTGAAAAGAGGATTGTCTAAAACACAGACAGAGCTGAGAATTTGGCTTCTACAACCTTGCTGTCTCTAGATTTTAGCAATGATGCTATTTTGGCAGTGACAAGTTGGTTCCACCATTCACACTCTCGCAATAATCCACACTTGGTTTACACTATCCCAGCTTTAGCTAATGTGCTTCTATGGATTTCTGTTGATCAATAAACCTCTTTTGAAAAGCAGTTTAAAAAGGGATTTCTGTCTGGAGATGGAATAAGGTGATAATGGTGCAAAAACACCTACCAACACTAATACTGACTCATCATCTGAACTATTTAAAGTGAAATGAATCATTGTTTCACTTCAAGAAGCTATACACTGTTGCTAGTGAGCTATCTGCACTGTAGACATCATGTAACTTTCTAGTATTTAATCATTATCATCGTATGTAGGTCAAATGTATAATCAGGAGATAGAGATGCACATGCATGCAAACTTATTAATATACTCAGTTTAGCAGGATTTAACATTTATCAGGGACTATGGCTCGACCCCAGATTTTGTTATATAAGTCATCACTAATGACATGGAAATCGTCAATGTGCCACTGACACCACTTTATCTATCAAGGGTAACCGCACACGGACAATACGAACATGAGTGGGATAGTTATATAACAAAAGATTTGATTACTGGAGGCGCCGGTTTGCTCTCCTGGTAGAGCACGCGCAGCGGCCCGGGTTTGATTCCATTGCTTTCTGTCATCCACACTCTCTCTCTCCCATGTTTCCTGTTTCTCTCTTCAGCTGTTCTATCTAATAAAAGCTTAAATCCCAAATACATCTAGAAAAAAGATTTGATACCTATGCTATGTAGGGCTGTGCGATATGACGATATCTATCGTTTGACGATAGAAAAACTTCTATCGTTTACAATTATGTTTTATATAGTTGTGTCGCAAATTCCACACTTTACCGTAATATTTTGATGAGGGGTGCTATGCACCACTGTGAAGTTAGCTTTAAGCATTGGAATTCAACATCTATTGAATGTCCAACTTAAAACCATGAATATCCAACTTGAAAGTAACTTCACCGCTGTCCGTTCTTCCACATATGCCGGTGTTACGGAGAAGAAATTGCATTAAATATAATGGATGAGCCACACATCACTATCCAGCAATGCCAGCCATTATGTGTGTGTCAGTCAGGTAACGTTTAATGACTTGCCCACGGACATACAGCTTACTTTATAGTTCAACAAGACACGCTGATGTTGGGATGTTAGCTGTAGCGTTAGCAGCAGGGGAGCTGTGAGTGTCGCTGCCGGGAGCTGCTTGACGCATTACATTTTACTTTAGTTTTAGAACTGGTACAAATTTCAAACCTATAATTTTTTTCCATGCCAAGGACCCCATCATAATATGCCCTCAGCTACTGGTAAATGTGAACAATTCATCAGGATACATGTTGGTAAATTGGAACAGGTGTAGCACAAAACACATCAGATCCTAAAAGTCACTTTTCTCCTCACAGTCTGAGACATGACAGCTCTGCGGGGTAAAGAAGCAATTAACAACAAGGAAAACGATTAGTCTGATTGAAGCAAGAGAGGAAGAGCACGTCAGAGTGGAAAAGATAGCAGGAAGAAAAACTTCTGACGACTTTGTGACACAGATTTTACACACACACACACACACACACACACACACACACACACACACACACACACACACACACACTAGTGACTGATTTCCCCCAGAGCCTTTGGGCCTGGACCATGGCTGCCTTTAGAGATAAACAGCCCTGCTATCTCTTAGAGATTTCCCTTTCTTATAAGTTCCATGAAAGCTGTCGCATGCGAGTTTTGAAGTCAGCATAAAGCGTGCCTTACTTTTGCTTGCATGTTTAAATCTATCTTTGTAGTTCACAGAGTCCAGTCTTACCTTCTGTGACAGCCAGTCTGCTGCTTTTCCAAAAGTTTTCCAATGACTGTACATGTGTAGTTTCCAATGTGTTCTATATGGGCAAAAATACGTAGGGAACAACACAAAAATATGGATTGATTTGCCTACCTCCAGCATTTCTCAGCCTTAAGCATACCGCTGCTTAGCTGACAGTATCCAACTTGTTGTGGTGACAGCCCATTTATTTTGGTGGCACACAGGTATTTTACACAAGTACACTAGCCATCTTCAACTGCCCACCTGAACATGTCGCTTACTAGACTGTGTAAGCAAGATAATGTGTCAGCACATGCAAAAGATATTTCAGCCACATTTATCAATCACATACACTAATACTGCTAAGGGATGTGTTATAACTGCTGGAACAGGAAATATCAAAGTTACTTATAATTAATTGAATTATTGTGCCTTCACATGGGGTAATGTGGCAACTGTCCTTAACAGAATTTTAAAATATAACATTTTTAGCTGTAGCAACTTAAATGCTATATTATATATTATAGGCATCAAGCCAAGTTTATGAGTGTTATAGTAGGTGTTTTGGGCATTGATAATCTTGCCGCTTGACCTTTTATTTTCACCTTGGTGTTTATTTTGTTTGTTTGTACAATTGAAAGCAATTGTATTGTGTATAAATCAGTGTTTTCATAGTTTCATACTTCTAGTGAATCATCACGTTTCAGCTACATGTTTGTAATGTTTTTTAGGGTAGTTCTTATTAACTTATCCAGTTGAGAAGAATGTGTCACTGGTCAATAGTAAATACATCCCATGAATTATAAAATATTAAAATCATTTATAATAGAGAAATGGAAATTCCGTAAATCTATTTATCTTTAACCCAGCGCATGTGTGTTTACAGGCCGGTCATCTTACAAGTGAAACATCACAACCCATTTGGTAACAGCAGGGTATATACAGGAATCCAGAAGTGAAATTCAATACCTTTGAAGACCTTTTTCAAGACCTTTTCAACATAATTTAAGACTGCCGTGCCACTTTGCGCTGTAATCGGTTAAGTCAGCCTCACACCTTTAAAAGGGGAATTGTGGAGTTTTTAAAAGGAATTTAAACATATTTATAACATTTCATTGTCCATACGTGACTACGTTGTAACCTCACCTAAAAATTGACGCATTTCACCAACTTTCTCACTTGGACTCGTCGGATTTCCTGCAAAAATCCATTGTCTTACACAGGCTGTGATGTTTATGTGCGCAACATCACTGCAAAACATGTGAAACAGTGTGATTTTGTGTTTTAGTTGGTTCAAACTAGATAACGTTAGCTTGCCTGCAAACGCCGACCGGTTGATAACTACCTGACATAGTTGTAACTTATTTTCAGTAACAAATATGTAAAGCGTATGCTGTTGGTTGCAATCTGAAACCTTATTGCTAGAAGCCACTAAAAACCACACAGCCCACCTTTAACTTACATTTACTATAAATAGATTTTGAGACTTTAAAAGAGGAACACTCTTTTTGTGATAACTTTCATCGACCATTGTATCAATACAACATAATTCAAATAGGTCAGAAGGGTGAAGAGAATAAACTGAGTGATGGATAACGTTGGTAGAGTAGGCAGTTTAGCACAGACATTTGCGATCAACAGCTGCTGTCTGCATCCTAAAGCTGATTTGTGTAAACTTTAGTAAAACAGATGTAAAATAGAACAAGGGGAACATGTTGCTCTCAGGAGGAGGAGGAGGCTAGAAGCAGCACATATTGGCACAATGGCATCCTGGCTCTGGCTAAGTCTAACTCACAACCTGGAGGAGGAACTAGTAAAAATTAGTGTATTAATATAATATTATAACATTATATTAAAAGTACAATATAATAGTAAACTGTTAGTTTTATATTAATATGTTAATTATATTTTGTTACTATATTCATTATAATTATAATCATTATAATCTATATTCTATAATAGTATAGTATATAGCTTGCCACTATTATAATATTAATTCCAGTTACAGCTGTTTCATTTTGGGGTTGGTTTTTATTCATTAACTTTGTGCAAGAAAAATATTCTACAATTAGTTAGTCTCTAACTGGCTACTGGCTACTAACTCGTCAATAATCATAACTATTTAGGCAGAACGATTAGTTCAACATTTGGAAAGTTTGCTGTAGCACATCAAACTTTTTTTTAAAAATGACGACAATGACGAGCGCATCGGCTTTCTGAAAAGTTGAACGTGTTTCAATAAAAAGGCACAGATGTAGCTAAATAGCCAGCTAACGTTAGCCAAACCGATATGCTGCTTATATTTTCCCTGTTGTCTGCTGTCTTACCGCTTCACCTGCTGACAGCGCATCTTGCTCTTGTTTTTGAGTAAAGGGGCTGTTCAAGCGGCCACAGAGCTCAGTCCGACCATGTTTTGAACAATTAGCATTGGGGATCCGGCGTGGTGGAAGGTTATGGTCGGTTGTGCTCGTAAATCAGTTTTCCGGTTCGCACGGATCTATTTTTAGGGGCGTATGAGAGTGAAAGGCTCGCACGGTAGATCCTAGACCCCTGCGGCTAACGTCACACAGAATAACAACTCTCTACGTTCTGCCTGTCTAGTAATTTTGGCTATGCAATATAAATAAATACGTTCACCCAGACTTTTACCATACAAATGTCCATACTTTGGACAAAAAGGCTTTAATACTTTTTAATGGCCTTAATTTTTGCAAAATTGATTGATTTAAGACTTTTTAAGACCCCGCGGACACCCTATAACATAAACCTTCAGAAAGAAAGCCTGAGTTTTACCTCTTGGTGATGCTACAGTAAATAATATGTAAATAGCTTTATTTGGGATGTACATAATAATAATAATAATCCTTATTTGTAGAGCACTTTTCAAAAACAAGTTACAAAGTGCTTTAACAAGTGTAAAGAATAATACAAAAAAACAAGATAAGAGCATGAAAAATTAATATAAAATTAGTAAAATACAATAAAATAAAAGGGATAAAATAAAGTCAAATAAGATCGGGAAAGGCTCTCCTATAAAAGTATGTTTTAAGAAGGGACTTAAAAGAGTTCACTGACTCAGCCGACCTGATTACCTCGGGCAGGCTGTTCTAGAGCCTCGGGGCCCCGACAGCAAACGCTCTGTCCCCTTTAGTTTTCAGTCGAGACTCTGGAACAGACAGCAGACCTCTGCCCGAGGATCTCAAGGTACGTGCTGGTGCGTATGGGACTAAAAGGTCAGAAATATAACAAGGCGAGAGGCCATGAAGAGCTTTAAAAGTGATCAATAGAATTTTAAAGTCAATTCTAAAACATACTGGGAGCCAGTGTAATGAAGCTAAAATAGGAGTAATGTGGTCATATTTCTTTGTTCTGGTTAAAAGCCTGGCAGCTGAGTTCTGGATAGTCTGGAGTCGATCAATAGATTTTTGAGTTAAACAGGTGAAAAGGCTGTTGCAATAATCCAGGCGTGATGAGATGAAGGTGTGTAAAATGGTCTGTGTCCTTAAAAGTTAAATAGATCGAATTTTAGCTATATTTCTAAGTTGATAAAAACATGATTGAACAAGCTTTGTGGTGTGCTGCTCAAAATTTAAATTACTATCAAACCAAACACCAAGGTTCTTTGCCACAGGCTTAATGTGATTTACTAGGGAACCAGCAGATGCCATCTGCTGAGACCCGATGACCAGGATTTCTGTTTTGTCTGAGTTCAGCTGGAGGAAATTATTTGACATCCATTTTTTAACTTCACAAAGGCAGTTGTTAAGTGAACTCAGCATTCCAGGGTCTGTGGATCTGACGGCAAGTATATTTGTGTGTCATCAGCATAAATATGAAAAGAAATGCCATGTTTATGGATAATATGTCCAAGGGGAAGCAGATACAAGGAAAACAAAATGGGTCCTAAGACCGACCCCTGGGGCACACCATATTTAACTGGACAGAATGAGGAGACATAGTTGTTTACAGACACACAAAACTTCCTATTTGACAGGTAGGATGAAAACCATTCTAGGGCAGTACCAGAGATCACCACCCAGTGCCTCAGTCTGTCTAACATGATAGTTAACATACTATAACGTGCAGGTTAAACCTACTTGTCTAGTCCTGTCCGGGTGTCTGAAGACCACACCTCTGTTGACCATGTCCTTGTAGAAGGCAGCTATGTAATTATGGAATAAGGCTGATTAAATCTGCCAGGCCATTTGGCCCCATCTGGTCTCCTTCCTCTCTTCACTTGAGGACATCCACATGTTCTATCACTCCAGCCCTCCTCTGTCATTTGATCCTTGGTGTCCTAATGAGAGAGACAAGACATTACACAACTCAGCCTAAAAATAATATCCACCCTCCCACACAATTTACAGTCAAGTTTGTCCTTACATAATCATCTGAAACATGTGTTTTCAATGCTGTTTAACAGAATCATTATTATTAAGTGGTTTTGGATTAAACTGAACTATGTCTGCAGCTCAGATGCATTTATACTTGTGCGTAGATCTGTCCGTCATTCTGCAATTACACCCCCAAACGCTAGTCGGCAGTAGCGCTACAGTGTCCACTGTGTTGACTTTTGCCGGCCGGAGCAGGCTAACTTCCGGTTTAGCGCTCCGCTAATGTAAATGGGGGGTAAAATTGTAAATGTACGGCTGGTGTAGCCTTTTCAAATGTTACCGTTCTGATACAGATTCTGATAGCGAAACAAGTCATTTCGCTCGGGTTGCGACGGTCAAATATATTGATTCACTGTGTTACAGCCGCCGTTTTAGCCGCTAGTAAATGTTACTTTAAAGCGCGGGGTACTTCCGGTCGGCTCGGAAGCATTGCGAGGCTACCCAGCCGACCAATCACAGAGCTTACGGTCCGCATTGACTCGACTTATTTTCAATATTAAGTAATCACAGAAATAAACACACAGCACCTTGTTAGAGAACATGTCCCCCTTCCACGCACTCATTAAAAGCAACTGACGAGTTGCTTTTATGTATGTAATGTATGTAAATACAATGTGCTATTATCCTGTAACCACTAGTCAAGTTCACTGAAAGGTACAGGCAGGCCTTAAACCACAGACTATATTTGAAACAGAGAAGAAATAACTGAATAACCTAAGGCCTGTAAACATTTAAAAATACATATTTTCTTTCTGTCAAGTCACGTTTCTTTACCTTCAGAAGACAAATTTGATTGTGTGCTCAAGACAGCCTTATTACATGTAGCATGTTTACTAGAGACATAAAAACAGCACTAAACAGCACTAACAAGTTAGTTAATGTTTTATTTATTGTGTCATATTAGAGTCTGAGTTTTTATTTCTCTGTCATCCCAAACACCTGGCCAATGATACATATGATTGCAAAACACCACTGTTTTAGGAAACATTATTTCCAGAAATATATATACAAAACCAAAAAAAGAAAAATCTCTTCTTATTTAATAAAACATCCTGTCTCAAACATGTACCACTCCTTAGCATCCATGCTTTCCTTATCATTTAATGTATTGCTATTTGCTTTTACATGCAAATATGCAAGTTACATGAGGTTTCTTTACAGGTGTAAATGTTTATTTATTAAATATTGACAGCTGCAGAGCTAACAAAAGTTTTAACTACTGCATGCTGGGAAACTATAATGGCTTATCTGGGAGCATACTCAATTCTCAACTAACAAACTAAACAATGAGCATCAGGAAAGCACAGAACACTGACTCAAGATCTGCTATTTCTGTAACCATGTGATGTGTAATTTATGTATGTATCAGTATAATCTGTAACCATTTGCAAATGGTCTGTCCTTCATTGACCTATTTCTCCCATCTTGATCATATAATGAAAAACTTAGTAAGTGGTCTGAAATGGCTGTAACCATATGAGAAACGTATTTAATGTTATGTATAATCTGAATTAATTTACATTACAAATAATCTGTTCTGTGACAACGTCTTTTCTTCATCTTGACCAGACCAGAGGTCAACCAATTATAGTAATCAATGGTATGAGTGTGGTTTACACAAGGAAAACTGAAGGAAAGATAGACACATGCTAAAAGGAGAGTAAAACATTAATCATCAGAAAATTCACTGCAAGGATTGCTATGATGGCAAATTTCTATCTGATTAGTTCTGACAGCAAAAACTTCTATGGATATGTAATCACTGTTCTGCCTAAGCCAATAAAAAAAAGTTGAACCTTATAACAAGGTGCTTATTATGTTTCATGCATTTTGGAACATTTTTGCAAAGGTTCAGTAATGTCTAACAATGTATGTCCCTTCCAACATGTGGAATATCACAGTGTAACACACTGATTTTTCACTGGAACTTCTTGTGAAAATGGAAACCCTCTTGAGGCATTTCTAAGAAAAGTGTGGCTACTGCCCGATAGCAGTCTGCACTCTGCACTCTGTAAATGATCACCCAAGCACATCATTGTAAATGGGTCTCTTGCAAAAAGGCTTTCTTTGAGCTACTAACCAGAATCGATCGTCATGGCTTGACTCATGTCGCACTGAGCCAAAAAATAGGATTCCTACAGGGATTTTTGACCCTTTAAAATTAAGAATGGCTGACAGTTCACAGTTTCTATTACATCACAGTTTGTTTCTCTTAAAAATATATAATATTTCTAAAAGATAAACGCTAGGTAGAAGATCCTCATCTATGAAAATGGTATACAATATGAAAGTCCATGAAACTTGCCATCCCGCGACCCTTTACGCAGGATAAGTGGTTGACGATGGATGGATGGAAGGAAACTTGCCATACTGTATATTATATTAAAAACATGTATGATCTCTTCAAAATATAGTCAGAAATAAAATTTATATCCATGCTGCTCACTCACATTGTACTAAATGATGGTTTCGCAGTGGTGTTTTATAGAAGTTTCCCTCCACACTTTGTTTTTGGTTGTACTTATATAGTCTGTTGTCCGTAAACAGTCTCAGATCAATGACTGGTATTGAGTTCTGACCTTCTCTCATCAGAACAGCTCAATCTTCCAGCTCTTTATTAAGATATTATGAATTAAACATTATTAAAATTAAGTATGAATTTCAATGAATTTTCCCACCATTGAATTGGGGACAATCACCTAGTCTTCTAGCTTTTGTACACATCTTTATTTATTTAGAGATTTGGTTTACAGTAAGATTAACTTGGTAAACTGCTGAAATCAATCTTTAGCCATCTCTGTGGTCAATGTAGTCAAACAGCTTCCCATGTAGTTGCATACTATTTTTCTCCATTGTCAGTTTTTGGTCTGCTCATCAAAAGTTGTAATATAATTAAAACTACAAAATTGTTGGGTAAACAGATACAGGAACAGATTACATAAGCGGACTACATGTACAGTACATGCTGCACTGTTAACTGCACTAGATTTTATTTTAGCCTTATATTGTCCAGAACATTTTTAACATTACATCTGAAAAGAAGCTGATTATTTCCCCATCCATTTAAATGGACATTTGATTCATTATTATAACAAAAATATCAATCACAGTCACTTTTAATCAATCATGTGTTTGCATTTAAGTGACATGAATGGCCACAGATTTTTACTCTCCTAGACAAAGGAACGGGTGATGAGGAGAGGGAGATGACATAAGCGAAAATGTGAAAAGTTATTCATTTCAGATTTAAAGAAAAAGTTAATTCTGGTCTGTTTGGTCAATGATTCCAGCCAACCATTCAAGCAGACAGGTTTTAAGCAAGTTCCATTTAACTCCATCACCTAATCAATTGGAAGTGAAAATGAAAAGCTTCTTTGTCATCTAGTTCATGAATATATAATCTAAAAAGATTTTATTAGCTCAGATGAAGAAAGTACAATGAAGTCTCACAGATAAGGAGAAATTAAATGTCTTACTACACAGCAAATCCAGTTGCATAAGGCTTTCTGGATTTTATTGGTGAGGATGGGGGAAGGGCGTTATTAATAGAAATTATTAGAGACAATTAGCCATGCCCATCTCTCTCAGCAGCAATTGCCAATATGGTTTTAAAGCACATAATCCCCAACTGAAGCTTTGTCCAACAGTGTGAGTGAAGTTCAGGTGATGACTGCAGCTCAGTGATGTTAACCAACCAACCAACCAGCATTATGCATCTTCCAAGTACTATATAGAAAGCAGAAAAATACCCACTGCACCACTGTCAGAAATGCTTGTGTGCCATCTACACTACTGGCATGCTGTCACAGGAGACCGTATGTGTGTGTGTGTGTGCAGGTGACAAAAGGACGGAATAATGAAGGGTCTCATGATCAAAGTCATTTATCACACAGTCAACCAGCCCTGTGCTGTAGCATAATGCCACCTTGGTATTCCAAGCACACATATGCATACGCACACACACACAGAGTCAGCACGCAGCAGACTACAAACTCACAAGGACAAACACATCTCATAAGAATCACAGTCAGTAGTGATGTCACCAGAGTACTTCTGGCCATCTGCAAAGCCTGTTGGCGAGAGTGTGCACGTGTGTGTGTCCAGGGCTGACTAATCTTGGCCAGCATCACAAATGCCCTGCTGGAATCATCCATCACACTCTTCTTTGTCCTCCACAGACACACCACACACGAAAAAACACACACACACCAGCAACTCCTGCAATTCATCATCCTGAGTCAGGTGTTCGACTTGCCAAGTGTCCCCTTTGCCCCTCTGTGTCACTGTAGGTAGTATTTTACCCATGACCCATGAGTAGGCACTGGAGAAATGGGAAACTGTGACTGAGGTGGCAGAAGGATGAAATGGTTTGAAATGGAATATCATCTCAGAGTATCATATAAAACTTATATCGAGTTCATCTGCAAAACAGAAAACAGCCATTCTAAAACATATAACAAATACCTGTCCCTAGGTATTTAGCCCATCAATGCTGTATGAGCTAAGAGCTCTTACTGGTATTTATTGGTACTCTTAGTAGGATCTATTGTCACTTGTAGATCTCTTACTGTATTGATGCTTTATTGATGTATGTTGTTCCCCGAATGTAAGTTGCTTTGGATAAAAGCATCTGCCAAATGAGTTAATGTAAATGTAAACCTTTCAGTGTACAGCTTATGTCACATAAAACAAGTCATATTTCGTTTTACTCCTTGGCAGCCTCGTAAATTGAGTGTTTGTGTAAATGAATGCTAAAAAACACAACTTGAATGCATTTGATTTACTCTCTTTTCAAACAAGGGAATATTATTTATGTACCTGGATCATCCAGTGTGTTTTGCATATCTGCGTCCCCTTCCACCACAACTCACTAGCATTGCTGCAAGTCGCTCATGAAGGGGGT